ACAGTCTTGCTTCTCCCGTTTGAGTCAGGGTCCCTAGAGACTTGCCCGGATCTGGAGCTCAGAGTCTGAAACTCCCTCCCGATTGAAAACGCCAACCGCGCTCTCCGCTGCCAGCCCGCTCTGCACGCACTCCGCACCTGAATATTTCACTTCAGCACTGCGCCTCCTCCGAGTCTGGGTATGATATTCTCTTTCCTCCTAGTTGTAGAATTTCCACTCAGCCAGCCTTCCTGTGGTTCTGGATGATGTCCGTTCCGTCTTTTAGGTGTATTTTGATTTGGTTGTTCAAGGCAGCAATCTCCGGCGTTAACCTATGCCGCCATCTTGGTTTTCCGCTAGTGTTTTTTTTTTTTAATGTTGATTTCAAGTAATGACAAGCCTGAACTTTGAAAACAAATAGTATGTCTAATTGTCTACAGTTATTTCAGAATTGGAAGGAAAACATTGATCAGTAACAAAAATTTAGTAGTGATTATGTAAAAAGCCTATTAAGCTGATAGTAGGTTTCTCTAAGGAGTCTGGATATAAATCAGTGCTTAGAGGGGAATTTGTAGCATGAAGTAGGCCCTTAAATTAATAATTTAAGTTTCCACCTTAAGCTAGAAAAAGAAAAGTAATCTAATTAAATTAGTCTCTAAGTCAATGAAATTGGAAGTAGAAAAACAGAGAAAATCAATGAAACCAAAATCTAGTTATTCAAAATATCAATCAAATTGATAAATTTCTGGCCAGATTTACAAAGCAAAAAAAGAAAAATGAAAAATAGCCAATACCCGAATAAAAGGGGAGGTATTATCACTGACTTCACAGATGTCAATATGATAATAAAAGATTACTACAAAGCAGTGTATGAACATAAATGACATGACAAATGAAGTGAATCAATTTCTTGATAAATACAAATTTCCAAAACTAACACAGAAATAAGTAGATAACCTGGGGATAGTCTTCTGCATGTTAAAGATAATTGAATTTATTGGTAAAAACAAATAAACAAACAACTTCCAAAAGGGCAAACTTCAGAAGTAGGTTGTTTCACTGGCAAATTTTACCAAACATAATGGAGAAATTACAGCAATTCCTCACAATCTCTTCAAAAATAGAAAAGTGGGACCAGCTCTATCCGGTTTGGCTCAGATAGAGTGTTGGCCTGCGGACTGAACCGTCACAGGTTTGATTCTGGTCAAGGCATGTACCTTGGTTGCGGGCACATCCCCAGTAGGGGGCGTGCAAGAGGCTCATTATACGAGGGCAATATTACCCTCCTGTTCAAATCATACAAAATAGTACAAGAAAACTACAGACCATTGTCGCTCTGGAACATTGGTGCAAACCAAATACAGCAATGTATGAAAAAATAATATATCACCACCAGGTTAGAGTTTATCTTGGGAATGCAAGGCTGGTTCAACATTTGATAATCAATCAATATAATGGACCACACTAGCATACTTATCAAGAAAAAAATACACGATCAAATAACAGATGCGGAGAAGTATTTGACAAAATTTAACATCCGTTTGTGATCAAAGCTTTCAGCAAGCTGGAAACAGAAGGGAAGTACCTAAATTTTTACAGAAATCCTATAGCTAATTTTGTATTTAAGGGTGAACAACTAACAGTGCTTTCCTATAGGATAAAGAAGATAGAGAACTAGGCAGGAATGTCTCCCCTCACTGTTCCTAATCACTGTTGCTTCATAAGTCCTAGCAAATGCAGTAATAACAGAAAAAGAAATAAAAGACATTTACATGGGGAAAGAAGAAATACAACTATTTGCAGATAACATGATTTTCTATGTAGAAAATTCTAAGGAATCTACTGAAAATTTCTTATAATTAATGACTTTAGCAAGATTGCAGAACACAAGATCAATACACAAAATTCAGTCATATTTTTGTATGTTAAGCAATAAAAAACTGAAAACTGAAATTTAAAAAAATACTGTAGCCCTGGCCAGCATTGCTCAGTGGTTGGAATGTTGGCCCACGTACCAAAGGGTTGGGGTTCGATATCCTGGTCAAGGTTACATACCTGGGTTGCAGGTTCTATCCCATCCCCAGTCAGGGCACATGTGTGAAGCAACCAAATGATTTGTCTTTTTCACAGCAATGCTTCTCTTCTCTCTCTCCTCTACCTTCCACTCTCTAAAAATCAGTGGGAAAAAATGCCCTCACTCCTTGGGTGAGGATAAAAAAAATACTATTTAGAGTATCTCTTAAAAAAATGAAATATGCATAACATAATATGCATATTTAACAAAATATGCATAATCGATATGCTAAACACTACAAAATGAAGATGAAACAAATTAAAGAAGACCAAATAAAAATACATGTTTATTTCATAACATAGGTTCCTTGTTGGTTATTTTCTCAAGTTTAAAAAACCCCCACAATAGATTATGGCTAGAATCCTACCATGCTTCATTAAAGTAAATTATTCCAAAAGAATAAGAAAATCCTGTTGATTACCAGCTTCTTTCTTTTGCTATATGATTTTATTGGGTCAAATTTTTAAAGCTATGGCATTAAAATTTCAAATATACCTGTAAACATATGATTCATTGGTATTATTTATTGCTCTTTCAGGAATTTTTTGTGGAGCCATTTAATCGAAAAGCACGCCAAGAGAACTTGAGGTATAATAATATGCTTAAACAACTTAACACTCAACAGTTAGCCACTCTGAGACGCTGGAAGACAATACAGATCTATCTTACATGTGAAAGGGGACCTTGGGCTGAAAGGTATGAATGTATACCACCTATTCAGTAACCTTTTTCTTTAGAACTTTGGTCTACAACTTTTTAAGCCAACGGCCTCTCCAATCCAATTAAAAAATGTTCAATTTATAAAAGAACGTGAGAGATGGGAGAACAGGGTATGCGTTTTTTGTGGGTTTTTTTTTTATTAATTGTGAAGTTATCATACGTCCTTTCTTTGGAATATGATGAATGATTGGAATTAGGCTTATAGTGTTTAAAGACCTGTAAAATGTTAATTCAATGATATTAAATGGGAAAAAAAAGATTCAAAATATATGGGATAACATCAAGATATGTAAAATGCAGTTTAAGACCAGAAAGAAACACACTCAACTGTTACCAGTGATGACCTTTGGAAAACAAACAGTGGAGGAAAAAAATTGCTGAGTTTTATGATTTTAGGTCTTATATTTAAGCCTTTAATACACTTTTAATTTATTTTTATATATGGTGTAAGAAATTGGTTCAATTTCATTTTTTTGCATGTATCTGCCCAGTTTTCCCAACACTGTTTATTGAAAAGACTGCCCATTGTATGTCCTTGCCATCTTTGTCATAGATTAATTGATCATATAAGCACGTATTTACTTCTGGCTGCCTATTCTATTCCATTGATCTATATATCTCTTTTTACACCAGTAAGAAATGGTTTTGCTTATTGTAGCTTTATAGTTTTATATCAGGGCGAGTTATATCTTCCACTTTGTTCTGTCTCAAAATTTATTTGGCCATTTGGGGTTTTGTGGTCCCATGTAAATTTTAGGGTTAGTTCTAATTCTGAGAAGAATACCATTGGTATTTTAATAGGGATTGCTTTGGATCTGTATATTGCTTGAAATATGTAATATTTAAGATATATAAGCAGCTCATACAACTTAACACCAAAAAAAACAATCCAATTAAAAAATGGGCAGAGGACCTGAAATAAACATTTCTCCAAAGAAAACATACAGATGGCCAACAGACATAGAAAAAGATGCTCAATATCACAATCATCTGGAAAATGCAAATTAAAATCACAATGAGATATCATCTCACACTTGTCAGAATGGCTATCGTCAATAAATCAACAAATAACAAGTGCTGGTGAGGATGTGGAGAAAAGGGAGGTGGCCATTTGGGGTTTTGTGGTCCCATGTAAATTTTAGGGTTAGTTCTAATTCTGAGAAGAATACCATTGGTATTTTAATAGGGATGGCTTTGGATCTGTATATTGCTTGAAATATGTAATATTTAAGATATATAAGCAGCTCATACAACTTAACACCAAAAAAAACAATCCAATTAAAAAATGGGCAGAGGACCTGAAATAAACATTTCTCCAAAGAAAACATACAGATGGCCAACAGACATAGAAAAAGATGCTCAATATCACAATCATCTGGAAAATGCAAATTAAAATCACAATGAGATATCATCTCACACTTGTCAGAATGGCTATCGTCAATAAATCAACAAATAACAAGTGCTGGTGAGGATGTGGAGAAAAGGGAGGATTTTATTTACATTATATCCTGGGGTGTTTTTAGGTACCCCAGGCTATTACTGGGTCTAGTTTGCATGTGTGTCCCTGGATCTATTTGTTGGGGAAGGGATAGTGAGGAAGTAAGTGAATTATAATCTGGAGCTTTTGCTGAATCTTCTGGAAAGCTGAGTTCAGGCACTACCATGGGGAATGATGGTTCTATCCCAACAGGCTTCAGATTATTTGTGGGTTGTGAGAGTTACCTTGAGGATGCCAGCTACAGGGAACCCTGTTATTTTTGTCTCTCTAGCACCACTTCCTCCTCTTGGTACTAAAGCCCCTCCTTTTTGTGAGGAACCCACTCTGATATGGGCCCTCCCAACTCACCTAATCACAAAGGTGCCACTGACTCAAGTTGGGCAATTACTCTTCCCTGAGACTTTGCTACTGGTGCTGTTAGGGAGGACTGTGTCTTTTGGGATCACTAAGCTAATAGAATGTCACCCATCATATGGAGAACCCAGTCTGTGAGGTGGGAGAATGATTCCTGTGACAAATCTTTGCATTCATCCAGACCAAATGCACTCCTAGACTTGCAAGTTATGAGAGCTAATATATGTCTTAGGTGCTTATAAGCAATTTGATTTTGTTTCATTTACTTATAACCAAAAATGTAAAATTGACCAGTATACTGCAGTACCTGAAAGAGCTATCCTATATAATAAAAGCGTAATATGCAAATTGACTGAACGGCAGAACGACCAGTGGGGGAGGGGGGCAGGGCCAGCGAGCAGGCGGTGCCAGGCCAGCCAAGGCCTGTAGCAGCAGGCAGAGGGAAGGGATGGCGATGGGGGTAGGTGGCAGCGAGCAGCGGCGGCGCAGTGTTGGGGGACGGGGCCGCATCAGCCAGCACTGTCCCCTGATAGGCCACCTGGTCACCTCCCGCAGAGGAAGGCCAGCGGTGGCAGCAGCAGCGGAGTGATGGGGGCGGTGCCTTCCCCTGATTGGTCCGGTTGCCTCCTGCAGAGGGAGGCTAGCAGCAGTGACGGTGCCCGTCCCCTGATCGGCCTGCCTGGTCACCTCCCGCAGAGGGAGGTCACTGGTGGTGGCAGCAGTAGCGGGGTGATGGGGGCGGCGCTGTCCCCTGATCAGCCCTCCTGGTCACCTCCTGCAGAAGGAGGCCAGACTGTTAGCAGTACTTGCGCATTCCAGTTCTCTACAACACTACCAGCGCTTGCAGTTTTCTGAGTTTTTAATTTTAACTGTCCAATTAGGTGTGAAGTATGAGGCCTTATGATGTGACATTTACCTAATGACTAATGACAGTTGAGCATCTTTTCATGTACTTGTTGGCCAGTTGTATATATCTTCTTTGGAGAAATCTCTATTCAAGTCCTTTGCCTTATTTTTTTATTGTATTGTTTGGCTTATTGTGCTTGAGTTGTAAGAGTTTTCTTTATAGTCTCAATAATAGAACCTTATTAGATGTACCAGAGGCCCTGTGCACGGATTCATACACCAGTGGGGTCCCTTGGCCTGGCCTGTGCCCTTTTGCAATTTGGGACCCCTTGTGGGATGTCAGACTGCTGGTTTCAACCCAGTCCCCACAGGCCAGGCTGAGGGACCCTACCAGTGCACAGCCGGGCCTCTGGTATGCATATAAGATCTTTGGTTAATCTCTTCCTGCCCTCCCCACTCTCCTTTTCCCTCTGAGATTCATCAGTCTGTTCCATGATTCCATGCCTGTGCATTGAGCATCTGCCTCCTGGTGGTCAGTGTGTGGCATAGCTACTAGTTGGATGGTCAAATGGTTGCTTAGGCTTTTATATTTAGACTAGGGGCATGGTGCACGAAATTTGTGCACTGGGGGGAGGGGGGTCCCTCAGCCCAGCCTGCCCCCTCTCACATACTGGGAGCCCTCAGGGGATGTCCTAGTGATGGG